ATATGTCCCATGGCTACGAGGATAATGAGGATAGTGCGTCCTTCGTAGCACTTCCAGATCATTATCAGAGTAGCCATGGTCCATATGTGACTTCAGAGCGAACCAAAAACCGATGTCGTCAAATTTGAATGGGTTTTGCGGGAAACACGGTAGTGTTTGTTGAAAACCTTGTCAGACGACCAACTCCCTTGAACCATGATATCTTGGGTTGATACGCCAGCGATGGCTGCCAAGGTTGATCCTATAGCGCGTGGCTTTGGAGGAGGCCGTTTCGACGGAAGATTTGGAATCCGACGTGTGATTTCATTCATAAAAGTGCCTATGGTACTGACCCTAAGGACTTTGGACTTGTCTTTCACAAAACGCATAAGAGGATTGAATTTATAATCCTGATCTTTGTGGTGCTCGATTTCGAGAGGTGTGTCCGCTATCCGTCTGGTGTATTCTGTATAGGCCTCGACTGGGCAAATTTTCTTGTCGTTAGGGTGTCTACCTACGAAGATCGACTTTATGATGCGCTGCCCATCGCGTCGCTCCTTAGGGAAGACTATGGTAAGGAGAAGACCCTTTTCATTGGTCTCTGACTTTGACACATCAATGCAACCGATATCATCTGGCCGGAGAAACGCACAAACGCCTAAGAGCCAGCAGAGCTTGCGAGAGAGCTTAGGCATATCAAGATCCACATTGTCCTCCATGCGGAAGTATGAAAGGATGGGTGAAATGTCGAGTGCGGATACGTGCTCCATTTGAAATACGCCAGTACTTTTCATTGCTGCCATGAACCGCTGAAAGTAGATATTGCCTGTGATCACGGATGTGTCGTCGTAAAGCTTTAAGATGGCTGATTTTTTGTTAAGAGTGGTATTCCTACTCCAAGAATAGATAATCCGCGCATGGCATAAATAGTTAACTACAGCAATTGCATTTGGCGTACTAGGGTCGAAGCCTTCTTGTTGAGCCCATACTGCGAAAGCCTCTTGAGTTGGCAGATATTGTCGACGTGTTTTGCTGTTGGCACCTGCTGAATCTAGTAGAGTGATAGCGGATGGTGAGAGTCCTGCATCTAGATCTTTACGTCGCCTCTTATTCTCCATGCTGTCAATGACCAGAGTGGATTCTTGCTGAGGAGATCGCTTGCGCTTCCGACGGCTGGTAGGACTGCTTCCCGAGGGATCGGGATTGGTGGTGCTACTGCCATCTCCTTGATGGTTGGGAACCATATTGCACTCGGCCACCATGGGGTTATTACTGTTGCTGTCAGTTTCTGGGTCTGTATCCTCTCCAAGATGATTGATAGAAGATTCCATGGGGGGCAAATGTAAAGGTTGCCCATCTCTGTCCAGTTGTGTTGAAGGGCGTCTATCTTCAGAGCATCTGGATGGAATTTCCATGAGACAAATGTCGGTAGCTGTTTGTTCTGTGCCGACGCAAATAGGTCCACCTGATGTGGCCCCCATTGGTGTTCCAGTTGTTGAAAGAATGGGCGACTGATCCTCCATTCCAATTGCGATATCATTCGCCGTGACGGTGCATCCGCTGGGTTGAATGCAGATGGGATGTATGTCGTCCGAAGTCGAGTCCCCGTTGCTAGGCAGTGACGCCATAACGTGTCCGCTAGTCTCATTAGTTCCGGAGACCTCGTCCCTCCGAACCTGTTGATGTGTGCAATCGTTGTCGTGTTGTCGCATATGATGTTGATCATTTTGCCCTGTGTTATTGGTAGTTGAACAGCTCGAAGAACTGTCTGTAGTTCCTTCCAGTTGATGTGGTGGTCTTTCTCTTGTGGAGTCCATTTGCCACTCCATGTTTGATTGTTGATCACGATCCCCCATCCGGTGTCCGATGCATCCGTGTATATGTCCATTTGTGTCTGTTGTTGAATCCATGACAGACCATTCCATGACGTCAATTGCTCCTTCCACCATTGAAGGTTCTCCTTGGCTGGTTCCGTGAGGGTGACCGTGTCCGACCAAGAAGCTCCCTTGGCTTTTAGTGCTGTGTTCTTGAGGTGAAGCAGATTCCGTGTCATGAATCGCGCTGGGAACACTGCCATAGATGTTGCCATTGCTTTCCCGACGAACGAAGAAAGTTCCCTTAAAGAAGTGGCGCCTTTTCGTAGTAGCTTTCCTGCCTCGCGCCGTATGTCCCTGACTTTGGATTTCGGAACTGTGACAGTCATATCCCGGGAGTTGATGGTGAAGCCTAAATGGTCTATTTTCTGTGACGGGATCAACGTAGACTTGGCTTCCTTGATGAGGAATCCTAGCGCTGCCAACTTGTCTTGCACTAGTTGAGTGAACTGAATTGATTGTTCTTTGTTCTTGGCTAGGATTATCAAATCGTCTAGGTACGCTGATATGCGAATTCCTCGTCGTCGTGCCCATTTGAGGAAAGGCTTGAGAACTTTGGTGAACACTAGCGGAGAGAGTGAGAGCCCGAAGGGAAGTGTACGGAATTGAAATTTCCGGTTCTTCCATTGGAACTCTAGATAATGACGATAATCTGGATGGATTAGTACGTGAAGAAATGCGTCTGATAGGTCGATGCTTGTCATAAAGTCGTTCTTCTGTAACATTGCGCATACTGTCGTCATCGTCTCCATTTTGAAGTGCCGCTCTGAGACGTAGGCATTCAACGGTCTTAGATTTAAGACTGGACGAATGTCCCCGGTTTTCTTGGGGATAGTGAATATGCGGCTCTTGAAACCAGGGCCCGAAGCGACCTCTATTGCTCTTTTGGCTAAGAGTGCGATTATGTCAAGGACTGACAAAGGGTTTGCAAGGAAAGGTAAGTGAATGAATAACAAGAATGATAATGAGCTGAGAACTAGAATGGATTCACGAATAGTTTTATTGCAGACTGAGGTTTACTATGTTACAAATCTATCATATTTATACTTGTTTGACTGAAGCGGAGACGCGCTTCAAGAACTCTAAATAAAGCTTACTCAAATATTTCCTAAGGACTTTTACCATATGCGGAACTTCAAGTGTTGAGTTAACTTAATACACAGGATCCGAGGAAGATATCTGGTGCAATCTTATTTCAAGGTTCCTTGGCACTATAAGTCTTGGTTATTGCTTTATAGCTCTTCTAGAATCCTTGGAGCTATTCACGGAGCTAGAAAACTAGGAGACGCGACTTGGCTTGACAGGCAAACTATGCATGGAGGAATGAGTGAAGGAAATGAGCGGAACAAATTAATCAAGCACACGTGATCTTTTTCAGATTCGAATCAGACAAAAGTCATTCATCAATTCATGAGCTAGACATTGCTTGCTGTTCGTGACAGATTACCTCTTGATCGATCGCCTTCTCTTCCTCCGCTGCTACTCGAGCTTGGTACGCTGTTGAACTGGATATCGGTGGCCGTTTGTGGAAAGGGATTTTGAATCCCTCGGAGACGACCGACTTGACCCATTCGTTGTCGGTTATGAGAGCCCATGCTTCTCTGTAAATCTGTAAACGGCCACCTACTGCTGGCCTGCAGTCTGTGCCTGACTTGTCTGGTTGGATTGAGGGGTTTGGTAGCCTCGGCCTCGGCCTCGTCCCCCTCTCCTTGGATTTTGGCCTCGCCCAAAAAAAGAACCATTGTCATTTTGATAGTGGGCGGTCTGAGTTTGACCCGATGGATGAGATTGGCTAGAATTAGAAGTGGGTCTGTAAGTATTTGCGCTAAAGAAACTCCGGTTTTGAGTCCTCCTGTTGTATGCCCGTTGTCTTGTCGGGTTAGTAGCCTGACGAACACTCTTTGCCAATTTGCTGGCTTCAATGAAGTCTGAAGTAGAGACAATTGGTGGATCAACTGTGTCCTTGGTGACTGAAATTTTGTGCGCTTGGTAAACAAGGTCCTCCCTGTCGCTTGACATTTGCTGTGCAAGGTGTGCAATATGTTCACGCATTGTCTGTGCGAGCTGTAAACACGCTTGTGCGACCGCAGGGTCAACTTCGTAGGAAAACATTTCCGTGGCAAATTGATCAAGTGGTCTTGTAAGGTTTGCCAATCGTGATTGATAGCGTGAGATTGTTTTGTCCATGGAACTGTGGTGAGAGGAAGAGTCGGGCCAGTCAATGAGTGCCGATTTGGGTGCAGAATAGGTTTGGGTTGTGTTTTTGGCAAAAGGCTGCATCTCTTTAGCCATTTCTGTTGCATATGCAAGATCGTCTGCACGGTTTCCAGATTTATGTTTGAAAAAATCTTTCCCGTCCATTGCTGGGTAGTGGACGAGAATGGAGTCGTCAGGTGTAATTTCGTAAGCTGGTTCTTTTGGAACCAAGTAGGGGTTCGATCGACTGGATTCAGAGCTAGTCGAGAGAGCCTCAAGCCGGCTGGTGAGTGTAGCCAGCTGGCTCTGGAGAGAGTGTATAATTGGATCAGAAGTGTCATACTCGCTCATTTGGAACTTCAATACGCTGGATGTGTTCCTGAGCGAGAAAAAAGAAGATAGAGAGTAGATCAGAGCGAACGCTAGATTTTATTTATTTTATTTTTAGTTTTTTCTCGGTCAGAAGGAATAAAAAGAGGTCACACATATGGACCATGGCTACGAGGATAATAGACCCACCAATCTCTAGAGACGGCGAGCGATCACGATAACGAGGATCCCCTCTCTCTCTCCAAAGTGCATGACGGTCGGCTTGTCTGAAGGCAGGATCTCTATCATCGTGCTCAAAACTATTCTCCCCACTAGTGAAAGAAAAGTGAAGTTCAACAGGTGAACTTGAAGGTGAACTTTGAGGAACATTCTTGGAAGACATTCTGAATATGTGTATAATGGAATTGTTCACAGGAATATGAGTGTCTTGAAGTTTAGCTGAAAGTGTGAGAATGGCGAAATGAAGAATGAAGGAATGAAAACGAAATGGCAATCAATTTATGCCCACAAGCATCCATTCACATCCTTTTTCTTCAATTGCCATTAGTCATTTCAAATGGCGTGATGATCAGAACAAATGAACCAATGAATGAATGAGATTTTGGCATGCATCAAAAAAAAAAAAAAAAAAAAAAAAAAAAAACCAACAACAAATGTATTTTGAAAACAACACTTTATTCTGCAACTGGTTTAAAGGTTCTACACACATCTAACAACAGTGCTGCTCTTTCTTGCAAAAGCTTGCTACGAGGCGACTCTACATCAACTGACTCTAATTCAGTGAGAACCTTTCGGAGTTGTCGTTCTGACATCCCCAACGTTGACTCTTGACAACTGCTTGACGTTTCTGTCACAACTTCCGTCTCCGTTGCTACTGAAGTGACAGCAACCTGTGCATGTTGTGATGCCTTGGCTGACGCTTCTAACCGTTGCCAGTCCGCCTCCTTGACCAACATCAGGTTACGACGTCTCAGTTGCTTGAACAACGATGGCTCATGTACCCAGAATACGTCAAAATTGTCACGGCTTATAGGTCTACTGTATAAGTCAAGTTTTTGTCCTCCCTCCAGGTAAAGATACTTGCGAGGTCGCACTTCATCCCCATCCTGATAGAGTGGACTCTCTGTCCGCGCCCTGAAATTGCAGTGTTCACTCTCCAAAAAGAGCTTCTTGATCCTGCGCCCATCCCTGGTAGGACGCTCCCATGGTACATAAGAAAACACTGGGTCAGCGGGTGGACCATCAGTAGAAGGTGAAGTCTGGCGACTTGCGCTCTTATCACTTTCCAATTCCTCACGAGCGCGTTTTTTGCCAGCAACTTTGCTGGTGGAAGAAGAGGCAGTGTTGTTGGAGAAAGACATAATTCAAGCAATGCAAAGAATGATAAAATGAGATTTGAAAGCCTGTTTTGTGTTGAGAAGAGTTTGAGTGTCAACAATGTTTTAGGAATGAAGGAATGAAAAGCACAATGACCCCCAGTTGATTCTCCTCATTGCTTTTCTCATTACAACTCTCCTTCATCCTGATTCGTTCCTGACATTACAAATCTTTTTCTCCACATGATCTGATCCTGGCTGATCTTCAAACCAATCATCATTGCGAGTTATAATCGTGTCCTATAAGTGCCACTGATTTGAACCAATCTTTGAACCTGATTCATGCATGTGTAAGAATCTAAAAAAAAAAAAAAAAAAAAAAAAAAAAAAAAAAAGAAGAGAGAGAAACATGATGCTCGGATATTTGAGCAAATTATTTTGTTCCTGAAAAAAAAAAAAAAAAAAAAAAAAAAAAAATTTTTTTATGCGCTTACATAAAATAAAGAACTAAGCAATCGCGATCATCCTTCGCGTCCGTTCTCAACCCGCTTGGTGCCTGGAATGTTATGCTTTATTCCTCAATAAAAGAGAAAGTTGTTGTATATTTCAATATACAAGATAATAACGGCCCAGTTATAAGATTAAGAAAAATACTAAAAACACACTAGGAACATACTAGGGGAATTCCCAAAATTAATACGCTAAGAAAAATATAATAATAATAACGCGTCACTAGAGACGCGACAAAACACGACATGGTTCCTGAATAATCCCATGTCGCTTCTAGATAGATATGTAGTTACTTGGTACGAGTCTCTCTACCAGAAAATGAATAAATACCCCATGGATGTGGTGTGTGGACCCACATCTTATTCTCACTTATCTTAGCTTCTGATAACTACTGTCTAAATATTTTTCAGGTCCCTTGTCCTCTTTTTGTGAGGGAGATTGTGGGATTGAAAGAGAGCGAACAGTTGTTCATGTGGAGGTATGCGGGACGGCTGCTGGAGATCAACTCGGTGGAGTGAGTGCCGTTAGACCAAGGACTTGAGCCTGGCTATCCTTAGAATAGGACAAACACATCCTTGCTGCAAGAGCATCCTACGTCAAGCAAGCACTACATCGAAGTTCGGCTGCAGTCTTAAACCTTTCTACCTCATTTTTCCTTTCTTCCCCTTTTTCCATCTCCTATTCAAGCAATGCAAGCAGGGCAGAGCCGATTGGCCTATAAGCCCAGTCATATTCCTTCACCTGTTCTCCTCCTTGTAAGCTCTCTTCAAACCTCCGTCTCACCGGACTTGCCATGCTTTGATGACCCATTTGGCAGGTGGCGAAGGTCTGACAGATGAACGTATGGGACATATCTTTTTTTTTTCTTTTCAAATGAAGAGTGAAAGATATGTGAAGGTAAAGTGTGTGAAAGCAAGGAATGTGATAGAAGAAGGTGTAGAGTGGTAAAGTACGCCAAGAGTTCAGGCCCATAATATGTATATACTCTCGCATCGTATATTGTTGACATGACCTTTAATAGTGTGTATGGTATACCGTACTCAGAGTAGAGGTCAAATTTTTTTGAGCAAAAATTTTTTGGTGTCGACATTTGCAATGAAGAGAGCACTACCCTTTATTTTCTCTTTTCATTTACAAATAGGATGCCTCTTTATTTCCACCCGGGGAGCCATATTGGGACCAAAGCCACTCTCTGTAGCAGTCACTTTGCCTTCATGGCAGTCACATTTCGGCACGTGCAGACACCCTTTCGTTTTAATATGGGTGAATCTATTTGACAACCCGGGTTGTCACTCTTATTTGACAACCCCCCCCTAATTTAGCAGTCACACCGGCTTATTTGGCAACCCAGGTCTTCAATTTTCACTTTTTTGTTATTTGACAACCCGGGTTGTCAAGAAAAGAAGAAAAATTGTCTTTTTCAACCTGTCACATGACAAGTCTTCACCATCTTGCACTTTTGGAGGGCCTTTCTCAGCTGGATTTCTAAAATGGTGGCAACACTCCATTATCATGACTGTGGTTATAGCTTCTTCTGTCTCTCTTTTTTTTCCTTTCCGCGTCTTACGCATGCGCCATCAAGCGTCGCATAACCACTCCGAATTTATGCATGCTTATATATCCAAAAACCCCTTAGTGCATGTTACCCGTATAGGCACATTTTCTATAAAAGCAAACCCTTGTTTTAGAAATCAGTTGTAATAAAAAAACAACACCTCGTAACCAAAAAAAAAAAGTTTGTTATTTGATGGAAGCTTTTAGATTGCTGGAGGGATTTCATGTTGCTGAGGGATAGCAATAGAAACGATTTTCACATAATAATCTTGCCAATAAAAAAGGGTTGTCAAATAATAGTGAGCTTGGGGTTGTCAAATTAGATATTTTACTATTTGGCAACCCCGGGTTGTCACGCAAAGAAAAAAAATTGAGAAAAATAATTAAGGGGGGGGTTGTCAAATAAGAGTGACAACCCGGGTTGTCAAATAGATTAATTCTTTTAATATGTAGGATAAAATAGTGGTGCAATGAAATAAAAAGTAGAGATGAAGTTACAAAATTTTTTATCTTTGTACGTTGAAAAATACTCTCATTATTTTTTTTATACTCTCTTTTCTTTAACCACCTCAATACCAGTTTCTTCCATTCATCGCTTTCTTTTCATTGCTGTTTGATCTACACCACTACAACTAAACTTTTGTGCCGATTAATCGCAACAAATGACAACCGAAATTACGCTCTTTTGCATTGTTGATGGCGATTCCACAGCATTTTCAGTTGACATTCTACCAAATAAGACTGTGGATCATCTCAAGAAGAAAATCAAGGAGGAGCAATCGCCTTTATTTGATAACCTTCGTGCGCAGGACCTCATCCTCTTTCATGTTTTAATCCCATCCGCACCAAAAAGACAAATCGCGCTTAACAATCTGACTGCCGATGATGAGGCAAATAAGAAGCCGCAGGAACTTGACGACTCAACAAGCGAGATCTCTGAGGTCTTTGGTTCTACTCCAGCGAAGAAAACCATACACGTCATCGTCCAGCGGCCATTGCAAGGTAAGGGATTGGCTATTTGTTCTCAAACTTTTGTGTATGACATCATAGTCTGCAATTGCGTCTTTTTGATTGCTGCTTCCATTTTGAGCTTATTTAAATTCTAATTGCTTGCTACTGCGGCATGCAAGCATTTAATTGCCATGTGGTGACGCTTGTTCTAATCATTGATTACTAATGATCCTTTTTTTATTTTTGGTTTTGCATTATTGCGGTTTAGATCCGTCTACTTCCACTTCGAGTAAGACTCATTTGTTTAATTGGTTCTCTTCTTTTTTCAAAAGGTTAATCATCGCACATGTGCTTGACGGCTACCTCTGATGCTTTTTCTTTTTCTTTTTCTTTTTTTCTTGCCAATTTCTATCATTGCTTCCTTTACCAACAGACTCGGAGAAAAAAAGGAGGGCCGATGACTTATGTAAGCTAATTCTCCCTTAAGGATTGGAAACCGATTCTTTATTTTTCTCTTCTGACAGGTCTTGCTGTTTTTTTTTTTTTTTTAGCACCGCCAGATTTGAAAAAGAGGAGGTGGACAGTCAATGGACCGATCAGATTCGACGATGTTAATAAAGTCTACTATGTGGATCCTGCGGACCATGACAAAAATAAGGAAATACTACAGAGCGTTTTTCGCCGCGATTTAGTGATGCTCATAGGCGCACGTGCCTCTGGAAAAACAACACGGTTGTATCGACTTATCCCCCAATTAGCTGACTTTGGGTATCGCTGCCTCCCGTAAGCCAACTCCTGCGAAAATGGATAAAGTGGATGCAATGTATGCGCTAATATACCAGTACTGACCCTCTATTTTTCATTTAGACTATCATTTGAGGGAGTTGCCGTTGACAATAATGAGTCTGATTTCTGGAGAACTTTTGGAAATGCTCTTCGCCGCAACTATAAAGTCGATGACTTTACAACCCACGCTGATTTTCTCGATGCTTTCAGTCAAATTAAACTCCAGAACGAGAAGATTGTCATCTTGATTGATGAGTTTGATGAACTGTTCAAAGCATGTGATGAGGTCAGAAACAATTTTTTGAGAGCACTCCGAGACATCAGTAAAAACAATGTCTACGCCATTCACAGTGTTATCGTATGTGGAACCTTTAGTCTTCAGCGCCTTCGAACAACAGATCAACACATATCCCCGTTCCATGTCAACAATACTATCAGGAACCCGTATTTCACTCTTGATCAAACGCAGCAGCTCTTTAATGACTATGCGAAGGATGAGATGATTAAAATAGATGATGAGATTATTCGAGACATACACTCGAAGTCAAATGGGTATGTTTTTTAAGCTTAGTTAACTCTCCACGAGTTGATGTGCCATTCTAATACAATGAATTGTGCTCAATGTCAATAGTCATCCAGGAATGATTTGTCTTTGTGGACGCTCCATTCATGAGTATCTTCGCTCGAAAGTCAACGACTCGACGAATTGTCTCGATTACGATACATGGCAGGTCTTCTCCACACACAATCAAAATAAGAGGATGTTTTCGTACCATACTTTTAGAAGGATGGTTGATTCACTTTTGAGTGAATCAGCTACAGATGCTGTTAATCTTCTCCGAACAGATTTTATTGGGTATCTCGGCGATATATCTATCACAGACATGGAACAACAGGGATTGGCAGACTTCCTAACTGCAGAAGGGGTGCTGATAAGACTTGATGACAGTAACTACCGTATGGCCTCAGCATTCATTGACTCGTTTGTGAGGAGATATATTATTCCATCAAAATATCCCAACGCTCCTTCGGAGTCACCTCCAAAGGAAGGTCAAGAAGCATTATTGAATATTCTGGAGACTATGAAGATTGCTCTTCGATTTTTCGATAAAAACTTGATTATGCAGGCGGGAATTCGATCATACAAAAGATCGGGGAAAACAGTTAAGGCTATGGGTAGATACAATGCCAAAGTCCCTCGGGAGAGCGTCTATGACACGGAATTGATGAGGGTTCTCACCAACTGGCTAAACAAAATAGAAGGATATGAGATCATTGGCCAGTGGCACCTCCGTGAGCTTGAGGACCACAAATATAGTGATATTGTCATCAAGAAAGCAGGAGAGCCGACGGTTGTTATCGAGCTTTTGGCTACAGGGAGTCAATCTTCTATTAAGGACCATATCAGCAAGACGTCAACTTACAAACGTTTGCTCCCAGCAGAAGAAGCTTGGGTTGTTCATTTTACCTGTGAGGACGACTATTTTAAGCACCCATACTGGCAAACCGACGCGGAACTGGACCAAGGGGTGAATTTGGTGCATTTCTGGCACGATAGGGAT